GTTGAAATAAAACCTGCTATTAATCAACCTGGAAGGCATCTGTGAAGATAGCCCACAGCAAAACACCTGTCAGTTATTTCTCAGTTCATAGAAGTCTGCATCCTTTAGCAACACTCATTTTTCAAACCCTAAGCTCTCGAAGACAGACTAAGAGAAAACAAACTATAAATAATTAAAATTCCTTTCATTTTCATCTTCTTCCAACAGTTGTAGGTTTTGTGCAAGTATTAGACATTTGCTGTTAAAATGTGCTTCTGCACTCCAAAACTGGGGGCTGGCCATTGTCTGGAAATTTACTTTAGCTGCACTGAAACCAAAATTTCATCATAGATCAGGTTCTTGGTATTTATGACTAATTATTCTCTTGGTTTTGATTCTTTCAAAATTCTCCATACCTCCATCCTGATAAACATTTAGGAAATGATGGAAAAAAATTCCTGAAATAGTTCTTCCTAATATGTTGTACTTTACCAACATTATTTTTGAAACTCTTGACAGTGAGCCCAAGCCCCTATGCTGGAGTTTTGTAATCCTAAACGGATACATGCACTCAGAGGTTCATAGTTCCAAATACTTTAAGCATATAACATCCTAGCAAGAGCCCATCCCATCATCTTAGATACTCCAGACACTTATTTACCCTTCTCATTGTATAACCACTAGTCCAACAGCTAACTTGATTGAGGGGGGAAAAAAAGAGAAAGACACACACTCTCTCACAGAGCTCCTCCCCATGGGTAAGAACATCCATCATTGCTCCGTATTTACTTGATGGCAGCACAACAGCTAAGCTCCAGCTCCCCCCAATCACTGGGAGGTATGGTATCCAAAGGTACCAATTTCAATTTAATAATTTTGCTTGCATCTCCCTTTGAGTCCTAGAACTGTTCATAGAAATTGTGTATTTACTTATGAGTATCTTTTTGGACTTAGTGATCTTACTGAATTATAGTCCACTTTTGGAGCTCGTGTAAATGTCAGTGTTTACCCTGATAACATTAGTAGAAACTACAGAATCTGAACACTAATCTTACCCCTTTTCCAACCTGGCTGTAGGATACCCAACTTTCCATACAGTATACAAACGGTTAATAGCTGAAGATAGCTCAAGATATACAATTTCAAAGGCAACAGATCAGATAATAGGGAATGCAAATCTTCTGGGCAAAGTTCAGACTTACAGTGTTTAGAGGGCATTTTTCGATTCTAAACAACTATTAGTTTGATGGAGTACTAAAAGCACTTACTGCCATTTTACCAACTCAGATGTCTGTGGCAACATAAAGTATTTTTACAGCATTGCTGAAGCTCACTCTCACAAGAGGGTCACACCAGGTCCCTGCTTCTTGGTGAAATGCTGTAGAATGCCTCGACCACTACGGAAATCTCTCTCTGAGGATTCCTAGGATCCCCACACTTCTACATGAAGCCTTCTAAGAGGGGAAGTGGGTTTCCCCAACTTGCTCTCTCCGGGAGAGGCAGTGAAATAACCACCACCCCCTGCCTTTAGTTAAGTGATTTAAAATATATGCATAACTTCTGGGTAGACTTTTATTTTGCTAGTATCATCAAATCAAAGGCTTTTTAAACTCTCCCAAGCCTTCCTTTTTCTGGGACTGGCAAAAAAACAAAACAGAAATGTTATTTCATCACCCAGGTGGTAGGATATGGCACCATGAAATCTCCAGTGCCAGAGGGTAAAAGATTTTGTACTGAAACAAATTAGCATCAGTGAGTCATATCTTGAATGTCCTGTTAGAAGAATCATCCATCAAACATTTTAATAAGTATGGCTTTCACTTTCCACCAGGTTATCTGGAAAGCAAGCATGTATTCAATTGTTTTAAACTATAAATTCAATAGACTGCTCCAGGAAACAAAACAAGAGAGTTTAAGTCTCCATTTTCCCAGTGAAAATTACTTAAAACTGGAACTAAGTCTATTCATACCTTTCCATAATATTCATACCTTTCCATAGAAAAGACTGAAATATTCTCTTTACCCATCCAACTGTCCTCAGCTCTAAATTATAAGTTTTCCAACAATTTTCACTGCACACATTGCCAAGCCCAGGATCAAATATGAGCTTTCACACTTCTCCATCAGGTGGAAAAAATGATTTTAATAGCTGAAAAAAATTAAATAATATAAAATCGAATTAAACAGTTTATCAATAATAAATGCTTGGCATTTGCTTTATCCAGGAAAAGAATAATGAAAATATTCCAAACAATTTTTCAACTAGCTTTCCAACCATTAGTATGGGTTTTTCCTTTACATAAAGAACTCCTGTTATGTTTCAATCTCCATTAAGTTTATAGACAGCACGTTTAATATGGTAAATTTAATTCATTCCTCACATTAAAATCACTTCAATAGCCTGTTAATCCCATATTTTAAAGTGATCATTTGAAAGCTTTTCCTACAGAAGGCATTTGCCACCTTTACACCAACCTGGATGGCAGCTAGCTCTATGTCAATTATTTTCCAACGCATTTTTAAGTTCGTTTAACACCAATTATCAAGCTCGGGTAAAACAATACTACATAAGAATAAGAAAGTGGGGAAGTCTGTGAGTCCCCCACTTTTTTGAGTGTCTTCAATTTTAAGAAGCCTGAATTTGTTTCAACAACTGCTTAAAAATCAAACTACTCACATTCGAAAGACTACATGTCTGAAATTAATCCAGCAGCACTACACAATGGGTAATGTTTGCATTCTCCAATGTCCTACATTAGCTCTACGGAGATGGGTCCAGTGGCTGGGAGAAGTTTCTACAAATTCTGCATCCGTTCCTGGTTAGTTCCAAGAGGTCTCAAGAGCGTTTGGGATTTCACTAAGTTACTCAAAGTAGGAAAATAACTCCGAGAGGCGGGAAGAACGCACTTAAAGTGACGAGCTTCCTAACCTCCCCCGGTGCCGAAGTTTCTCGGTGAGCTCAGCACTACTGCCCACTAAGTGTTTCGTTTGCAAACAGAAACGAAGCAAGAAAAATGTAAGTTCCAGCCCACGTCTTCCAAATCGGGGTCCCCCACCTAAAGCGGGCTGGCGAGAGGCTGGCCAACGTACGGGCTGCCGTCACTGTGAAGCTTCTTGCAAAAAGTGAAGATCAACACCCCAAAGAATGACTCATCGGGGGCTTTGTAAGCGGACTTTGTTTGCTCTCCCCGCTTTCTGTCTCCCCCACTTGGTCGGGGGAAACGTCCGAGGTGGAACGAGAGAGAAAAGCGCTCCGGGAGGAGGTCTGGCCTCCGGAGTCCCGGCCCTCACCGCCCCCGCCCGGCCCGGCCCGGCCCGGCCCGGCCGGGGATTCCCCGGGCTGAGCGGGACGGCGGCTGAGCTGGACAGAGGGAGCGGGTGTCAACTGCCAAGACTCGGCAGAGGCTTGGGAAAGAAAACATGTAAATCCAATGAAAAAGTTTGGGGAAGGCATGCACACAGCACCCCGCAAGCGGGTAAACACGAGGTGGGGCGGCGGGAAAGGGGAGTGGCGGGGAACCCCGGGATACCCGCTATTCGTGGGGGGGGGGGGGGTCAGAAAGTCACCATAAACAAAAAGAGAACAGGGAGCCGAGAAAGGAGAGCGAGCGAAAGATGAAGAGTGTGCGTGTGTGTGCGCGTCTTGGGGGAAACACGACGGAGAGTGGAGCCTGGGACCGCCTTCACCCGCGGTGCGGCCCGGCCCGGCCCGGCCCGGCGCGCAGTGGCCGAACAGCCCGCGCTCTGCAGCGGCCCGGCGCCCTCCTTTCTCTGGGCCGCGGGTGGTGACAGCGACCGGCCTCCTCCCTTCCCCTTCGGGGCGGGAGGGAAGGGTGTGTGCGTGTGCGTGAGAGTGCTGGGGGGGCCGGGGTTCACCCCGAGGCCTGCTCTCTCCCCCGCACCCCTGAGGCCGCCTCCTTTCACCTCAGCAGCCCCGCTCCGCCGGGCGGGCGGGCAGAAAAACAAAGGGGGATTAAGGCCGGGCCGGAGCGCGGAGCCGGGAGGGAGGGGAGGAGCGCCCGCCCGCCAGCCCGGGGCCCGGCCCCCCTGTCCCCCCCGTACCCCCTGGGAGGGCCCCCACTACCTGGAACAGGAACGTGGTCCAGTTGGCCTCCATGGCTGTGGCGGCCGACCCCCCTCCTCCCCACTCCCCCCGCTCGGGGAGCCTCCTCAGCCGGAGGAGGCGACAACAAAGCGGCGGCGGCGGCGGCGGCAGCGGCAGCGGCGGCTCCTCAACATGGCAGCGCCGAGCGCGGCCACTTCCGGTAACCTCCGGGACGCACCACCGCCGCGGCGAGCGCGGGCGGGGGGGGAGCCCCGACCCGGCGGCCGCCGCCCCCAGCTGCCCCGACCCCTCCTGGGCGTCCCCGCTGCCGGCTCGCCGCCTCGGAGCTCCACCAGTGCCTGCGGGCGGTGGGGTCAGGGCCCCCGCGGGAGGGTTGGGGTGGGGCCGGGGGCGGGGATGGGGCGCGGCGTCCCCCCCCGCGGGGGTGTGTGGTGCTGCGGTCCGTGGCTCCGGCAGCTGGAGCAGGGGGAGCTCAGGAGAGAAGATGGAGGACGCCAGGGTCTGGCGCTGGCTGGCTGGGCACCGCTGGGCCGCCGCCCGTCACTCAGACTCGGTGTCCGGCGGTGTCGCGTACCTCAGACCCGCAGCGGAAGGCTCAGCCACCGGGGCCACCGGCTCCCCAGTCCCTTAGGCGCAGCACACTCCCCGCCTCCAAAGTGGGGGAAGCCCCTTGCACCGTCTCCCCTGCGGTGTCCTCAGCGAGCTGAACCCCGCACTCGCTGTGATACGCATCTACTCTGCGCGGCCTTCCAGCTCAGGCAGGGACTCCCACGGGTGCAGCCTCAAATCCTCCCGGTGCTGAAGGAAACGCTTCCCACGCGGAGATGTCATAACTGGGTTATTCTTGGGTGAAGGGCTGAGCTTCCCAACCTCCCCTTTACTCAAGATAGGATGTGAAACTCAACCCCCCCCCCCCACCTCTCCCGCCAAAAAATAAAAATAAAAACAAGTGAGAAACTGCAGTCAAGAAATTATTTTAATCCGTTAGTACAGTCAGCTTCCTCACCCCTCAAAACAAAAATCGAACTTCTGGTTGGACAGCGTCAGATGTCACTGAGGTGACCCCAGCATCTGTTTGCAGTTCCAAGTCTTCCGTGTAGGCGTCACTGCTACTGGTACTGGATGATGATGTCTGAACGTTTTCTATCCTTTCCTCACATAGAGGTAGCTACGGGGAATAGACAAGCTATTAAACAAGTGTCTCCAGCCCTAGAAGTCTCCTGTGGCAGGAACTGAGGGGGCAGGCCATATCAGTGATATTTCTATGAACTCTGGTTTACAAAAAATTTCTCACTATTCAAGACTTCAACATCTTTCGTAACCAACTGTCTCCTATCATCCTCTCCAGACACATTCTAATCAAGGTCACCATCTCCAACTTTTCCCATAAATACACAATTGGTTACTGCTTGCAGGCCTCGGGGAGGAATGAGTTCTGCAGTTTGGATCAGTAGCAGAAGCAGATAAACACATCCAGGAACCACTCAGCCTAAGACAGGAGGGGACAGAAAATGAAGTTTCTGATACATTCCTTCAGCTAAACTGCTCCCATGTCCCTTGTCTCCTATAAATGTCCATTAGTCTCCTTTGGAAAGAAAAAGGAATTAGGAAGCCTAAAGTTTATGTATGCATGCAAGATAGGGAGGGAATTAAGATACCTAAGGAATTAACTAGTTTAAGACCTTTTTGCTCTGGTCTTGGACATTACATGTTCTTTCATTTTCATTCAGTAAAGAAGATGGGCTTCTTTCTGGCCTCTGGAGTTCATCTCATTTCCTCCTCCCCTCTGTAGCCTCTTGGTTGCCTTTCAAACTGTGGTGAAAGTGAGCTTCAAGATTGTGAAAATTCGTATTTAATGAAGACCATTATTCTAATGACAATATTGCGGGACTCTTGAATACCTTATCCTGGGATCTAGAAAACTTTCTCCATCAACTTTCTCCCAGCACTGCTGGAGAGGGTTTCCCACTAACAGGAAGTAGAGGTCAAGTGAAAACAGTTCAGTTCTCATTATTGAAGAGCTGGGATTCAGAAGTATCACACTTTTCTTAAGGAAAATGTCTAATTTTATCTCTGTCCATAGGTGAAACCAGAATTCCTGATTGCTCCCCAAGCCCTCCCTTAAAAAGGAAATCTAACCACTTATTAAATTAAGATGAAGTTTTAAACCTAAGAACAATTATGCAAAAACAATCAGCTCCAACTGTTTTGAGGAATATAATGAAACCAGTAAGATCAAAGACTGTTTTTTTAGAAGGGGCATTTCTGCTTATCCTTAGGAGAGACAATATCTTTAATCACAAACAAAATGAGCCCCTCCACAGACCATACTGGGGTCCAGTAAAAAGACTAAGGATGGGGGAAAAAAGAGACTAGGGATGTCTCAAGACAGTAAATTTACCTTGATTATTGTAAACAGCGTTCAGTGAGTGAATAAAGAGTATTACCCTCAGATATGATGAATAACTAAAATGTTTGGTGCCTAAGCAAAAAATACACTGTGCCTACATTCACCCAAATAATACTCAAGATTCCCTCCCTATCCTCTTTACCACCCTTATCCCCCTGCCTCAGCTTGTATAACCTGTCAACCTTTTAAGGCCTCAGTTTCCTCATCTGGAAAATGAGGACAAAGTAAATACCTATCTTATACAGGTGATTTTTGGATTAAATGAGAAATATATGTAAAATGCTTAAGAGTATTTCCTAGAATATAACAGAAGCTCAGTAAATGTTTTTATTGGTGTTATTGAGTGGTTCCCCATTAACAGCTGCATAAGAGCCAATTAATTAATCCTTTCTTTTAAAAATCCTCACCCAAGGAGTGAGGATATTTTTTCCATTGATTTTAAAAAGTGGAAGGGAGAAGGGAGGAGGGGAGAGGAACTTCGATGTGACAGACACATGAATTGGATGCCTTCCACCCCAATGGGGAGCAGAGATCAGACCTGCAACCCAGGTATGTGTCCTTGACAACCTTGCCCTGGAATCAAACCTCAGACCCTCCAGTGTGCAGGCCTATGCTCTAACCAGTGAGCTTGCTGGCCAGGGCTATTCCTCTTCCTTTGAAAGTGACAAATTTTTCATCATGCCCTATCCCTCTCCTTCAAGAGCCCTAAGGGTAAGTGGCTAAAAGGCTAATGACACATGACAAAGGAAGATGCCTATTAAGATTAGCTTTTCTAAAGACAATTTTTAGCAGACATTAAAAAGCCACAGGATATTTCCTTCCTATATTGAAGAGGACTTTTAAATCCTATGAGTACATTAAGGATTAGGATTAGATTTAGAATCCTAGGAATAGAAAGCATCTCTGCTTCATTACCTGTCCCCACATAAGACCACTCAACAAACCAAAAACAAATCAAATCCAAACTTTCAGTAGAGAAGATCTAGTTAGAAGAAGCTTCAAACTATCAAGATACTGGACTAACTCATGAAAAAAAGTGACGACTGACAATTCACAAATCTAGTAAAAATCAAGACTGCAATATTTAGAAATACCAAAAAAGTGACCAGAAATGTTATCCTTCATTTCCAGCCTCAATGCAATTGAGAAAAGGAAGCACACTTTACACCGGACCAAAGGGAAACCCCTCTCCTCCAAACAAAAACAACCAAATCTCCTTGAGAGGAATGCAGAAGTACTCTTCCCACCCCCTCCACTCTACCCAAGCTCCATAAACACACTTGAGGGCTTAAGCCAAATGTCTGTGGCCCATGTGGTCAGAAGTTGGGTTTTTGTTTCAATTATACTACCTAAAGTGGCATCACCAGTTATTTTTGTTTTAACTGTGAAGGTGAGGAAGGGGAAACAATAAAGATCTTCCTTCTTCCCTCCCCTTCCCCCATAACTATTAAGTTCCTTGAGAGCTGGAAAATAATCACAGAGAACAAAAGAACAGGGAACAAATCTACCCATTTTCCTAGTTCAACTAGTAGTTGAGGGTTCTTCAATACTCTACTGTTTCTAAGAAGGGCACACACCCAATATACCAAAAACAAGTCTAAAGCCATGGAAACACATTTATCACCTTAACGCTTCTTGAAAGAAGCTACCATAAATCAATGCTAAGCCTATCAGTTACATCCAGAAAGCATTTGATCAGAAATACTGACATTTTACAGCTCCTAAATAGTAAGCAAAATAGTATAGGACACAAGAAGGAAAGAAACTAAGGTCAAAAATACACCAAGTAAGAAATTCAATACAACTGGAAAACATACTCTCAGGCACCAACATTTCTCCTTTGGACACCTGTTCCTCCCTGCCCTCAAATGCCCCAAGCCCAGGGTAAAGGCTGAACTTGAAAAAGTTGATACTTAAAACGTCACTCAATTTGGTGGGTCTGAACTGAACTACAAAGTTTAGCTCAGTTTGCCCTAGCTGGTTTGGCTCAGTGGATAGAGCGTCGGCCTACAGACTGAAGGATCCCAGGTTCAATCCCCTACAGCACATGCCCAGGTTGCAGGCGTGCAGGAGGCAGCTGATCAATGATTCTCTCTCATCATTGATGTTTCTAGCTCTCTCTCCCTCTCCCCTCCTCTGAAATAAAAAACCAAAAATCGGCTAATTGTAAAAAATAACTTAAATCCTTATATAAAGTTATTCTGGTACAGAAGTAAAGCTTTTTACAGTATAGCTAAAGCCTCCAACTCATTCCACTGGTTAAGAGGGATGTAATGACACTAACCAGTATTGTGCTATCCATCTACATTACCAGAAAAATGCTATTCATTGGCAAAAAAAACCCCACTTTTTTTTAAATTACTACTTGTAAATGCTCTTGTGAAGTGTAGGTAGGGGGAGAGCAAAACCATAGATATATCAAGTGAATCCTCTTTACCCAAACTCCAGTAGAAACAGCTATTCAGTGTCTTCATCATACCAAATTTGAGGATAGTTCAGAGTTCGGAAAGGATTTTGTTTCTGGCTCTGTTTTTCTGATACTCCTTCCTCTCCCTTTCATTGGCTTAGATTTTTTAAAAGCTTCATTGGGTAAATCTGATTTTCAACTGAGGATCCCTCCATTTCTCAGTTGAAGGGAACAAGAACTACTGAAACCTGTGTTGAGGAATCTGAGGGAAGGGAGTGTGGTGACCTAAGACACTGATGTGATTACCACCAGACTACCTAGACTAAGCTTTAGGAAGTCTGCTCCATTCTGGAAAGCAATGCCAAGAGATGGGACACAGGCCAAGACAGCATAAAGGCTGGCTAAGATTCCAAGAGAGGGAATTAATTCCTGTAAAGTTGTTTCTTGACCCTGAGAAGTCTCTGAACTAGAAGCTGCCTCAAGTTCTACAGTCATTGGGTCCTGGCATAAAAGCAGGTACAGGGGCCTGGTAAGCTCTATGGAGGGACAACAACTGCACTCATTTCCTCCTCAGGCTGTCAATAAAACACCAATACTACTAGAAGCATTTCACCTTTGGTTGCCTGAGCAGTGGCATCAAGCTCTCTGCTAGACCTAAAGAGGACCAGAATTCCTAGAGGGCAGGATATTTGATTCAATAAACAATTTAGGATGGTACACAGGGAAAACAGTCAGATTCAGAACATCTGGATTTTTCCTTTGAAGTAACTTTAGTATCTCTAACAAAACAAGGCCCTACTCAACTAGTTGACAGAATTAGCTCTCTACCTGCAAGGCCTGACCCTGTCCCTGCTAACTTTGTTTCACTGATCTTACATAAGCATAGCCCCAACCCAGCTCCCCAGCTGTTTCCTCCTGTTTTTTCTAGCTCCCTCCTCCTCCCCCCTCCCCTTTTACTTTCTCTCCCCTTTCATTCAGCAGTGAATGCTTAGAAAGCAGATGGCAAGTAGTGAATCCAAGCCAGTGAAAACGCTTCCTGAGCATAAAGGTATAAACCAATCCCAGAAACAGATATTCTGGGAGTTGGGATACATATTATTTCTGCCTTTTGCCTGAGGAAGTCCTTATAAATGTCCAATACACACAGTTATTATGCTGGGGCAGTTACTCTGATCACCTAGGCCCGTGGTCGGCAAACTGCGGCTCGCGAGCCACATGTGGCTCTTTGGCCCCTTGAGTGTGGCTCTTCCTAAGCCTTAGGAGTACCCTAATTAATAACAATGTACCTACCTATATAGTTTAAGTTTGAAAAATTTGGCCCTCAAAAGCAGTTTCAATCATTGTACTGTTGATATTTGGCTCTGTTGACTAATGAGTTTGCCGACCACTGACCTAGGCAAAGCGTATGAAGGGATCCAAGTTGGTATTAATAATCTGATTAGCCCTCTTCACCAGAGCTAAGAAAATTGAAAGGGAAGCTTGACTACTAGAGGTAAGTTTGTGATTTATTCCATAGTGATCTTAAAACCAGAATTTTGGGATGGAAATTCTCCTGCAAAAACAGGGAGGGAGGGAGGAGGAGGAAGGCACAAGTCCAACATCTCCAATTAATGTTTAATTTAGTGTCTCCTGGTGGATCCAAGTGCCACCTGGTAAACACTTGGTCCTAGAGATATAGCATGGGTGATTATATAGAGAATCAGCTCAGATAAAGCCCCCAGTTCAGGTTGCACTAATTACAACTAAGATTTGACAAGATTTTGAAAGACCAGTCAGGACACCCCAGAGACTAACTTCCTAGTTCATAATATATTCTAATCAGTTTGAAGACAAAACAAAGACCCCCCCTTAATGTGGACTCTCTCCTTAAAAAATAGCTCATGTGCAGAACTATTCTGTAACTATTATGGTTTTGCTATTTCAGTAAACATATTTATTCAGCACCCATTGAATGCCAGAAACTGTGCTAGTCACTGGAAATACTTTTCAGAATCTCCTCCAGTAAAGAAAAGTAATATAGACTAGTTTGCACAAAGTGCTTAAAGAGCACTAGGAAGGAAGCAGCTTTTTAAAAGGGGCTATTTGTCGTCTTAATATTAAATCAAGACTTCACTTTATTGGTTCTCACATAAGTGTTAGCTCTGACACAGAACTGTCACCTAGGATTGCAGAATATAGAAACTGATGCCGCCCTAGCCGGTTTGGCTCAGTGGATAGTGTCAGCCTGTAGACTGAAGGGTCCCAGGTTTGATTCCCGCCAAGGGCACATGCCCGGTTGTGAACTTGATCCCATTGTGGTGTGTGCAGGAGGCAGCTGACCAATGATTCTCATCATTGGTATTTCGAGAATCATTGGTATTTCTCTCTCCCTCTGAAATCAGTTAAAAGCTATCTAACCTGCAGTGGTAAAGCAATTCAATCTGGTTTTATGTCGTGGATCTATTTTACTAATACAAATTTGTGTAGTTACCAAAACAAATGCAGGTGTTTATAGACATTTACCCAGTTGTTTCTATGCTACATTTCTTTGTGGGGCTGCTGCCTAGCTAGAGTGCTAGCCAGGCTCTGGCCACTGCATGGCCTACTGTCCTTTTGTGGTGCCACCCTGATGAGTAGGGGTCAAAAGAGGGTAAGGGCTTCTCTGATTCTGGCTGTGCACTGCACACTGGAAAGCCAGGGAGCTAAACACATCACTTTCTGGCTGCTGGGCTCCGGGTTATGGCCACTGTGACTAGACTAACTCCTGCTTTGGAACTGCCCCCAGAAACCAGGGTTAAAAAAATGAATCAAAGACAGCACCATGGGACACCCTGGTGGCATCAGGCGGGTATTACAAGCTATGTTCTAAAACTAATCCACCTAACCTCCCCACTGGAAATGACTGGCTGGCTTTAAAAAAGCAATGCAGTAGTAAAACAAAAACTTGTCACCAAGAGACTTGGATTCAAGTTCTAGGCCACTTTACCATCTCTGAGCCTATTTCCTCAAACTGCAAAATGAGGCTAATACTATTTGAGGATTAAAATTAATCAAAGTACTTTCAACTATTATTTTCAGTAGGAAAATGGGTTTTTTTTGCCCTGGCCGGTGTGGCTCAGTGGGTTAGAGCATCAGACACCCATTGAAGGGTCTCTCAAACATTCCCCAGCCCTGGTAGGAATGAATGTGGGGGGCAACGAATCGGTTTCTCTCAATCCTCCCGCCCCCCGCCCAAGCCCCCCACTCTTTCTAAAAAGCAATGGGAAAAATTCCTTAGGTGAGGATTAAAAAAAAAAGGTATTTTTATCCCAAGTCCTTGCATTTCTCCTTTAAGTTTTCCATTTAAAAAAGGCAGCAAAGTCACTACTTTGGGAATAAATCCAATCTGATCGGAGGACCACACTACATATGAGATCTAAGCTATGGGGTACACCTGCCTAGGATTTCATGAATCTATTTACGTATTCACATTTATTAAGGTGTGTACTAGGATACTAGACATCTTGAAAGAAGTGTTAGAAAGTTAACAGTCCTTGCTCCGAAGGTTTACCATGTAGTTGAGGGAAATGCAACACATATACTAAGACAACAGCTTAGAGTTCATTAAGTGTATGAACTACATGTCACTATATAAACATGCCAAAGCAAGCAAAACAAATAGTGCAATTAGTCCAAGAATTGTACTTTGATCAGGAAAGGGTAGAAGAATTTTTAAGGCCCAGAGAAATAGGGGTGCTTATAGGATTTGGGTGTTGTGTGTTAAATGTTTGCTGAAGTGTCTTGGCTTTGAGAGCTAGTTCCTCTATAAGCCTAAAAACTAGGGTCCCTGGCCTGGAACAATATATCATCTGGTTTCTTCAGTCTATGTAAATCTTTCTATCTGAATCCCTTTATGGAGTAACGCATTAAAAAGAGAACCAAAATGATACAATCACATTGAGAAATCTGCAGGAACCCTCAGTGATAGGACCACTGAATTCAGAAGTGATTTAAGACTTTGTTCTGTAATAATTAAGCTTAAGAATGATGGGGAAAGGAGACCCAGTAGGAAACAGCAAAAGAAGGAACTATTGCCCGGCTGGTGCGGTTCAGTGGTTGAGTATTGACTTATGAACCAGGAGGACACTGTTGGTTCAATTCCCAGTCAGGGCACATGTGGGTTCAATCCCCAGTGTGGGGCATGCAGGAGGCAGCTGATCCATAAATCTCTATCATTGATATTTCTCTCTCCCTCTTCCTTTTTCTCTGAAACCAATTAACAACATATTTTTTAAAACGAACTACTCGCCCTAACCCAGGGATGGGCAAACTTTTTGACTTGAGGGCCACAATGGGTTCTTAAACTGGACCGGAGGTCCGGAACAAAAGCATGGATGGAGTGTTTGTGTGAACTAATATAAATTCAAAGTTAAACATCATTACAAGGGTATGGTCTTTTTTTTTTTTTTTTTTATTCATTTCAAACAGGCCGGATCCGGCCCGCTGGCCGTAGTTTGCCCACGGCTGCCCTAACCGGTTTGGCTCAGTGGATAGTCAGCCTGTGGACTGAAGGGTCCCGGGTTCGATTCCGTCAAGGGCATGTACCTTGGTTGCGGGCACATCCCCAGTAGGACATGTGCAGGAGGCAGCTGATCGATGTTTCTCTCTCATCGATGTTTCTAACTCTCTATGCTTCTCCCTTCCTCCGTGAAAAATCAATAAAATATATTTAAAAAAAAAAGTAACTACTCTACTTTTATAAAACAATGGCATCAATTCTTGATCTACACTCAAAGTGTGCACATTGTACAGCAAAACTTTATTTTTGACTTTGTAAGACTTTTTGGGGGGAGCTCTTTTCCAATTATACTTGGCTTAGGTTAGCATTTAAATTAATTTGCAATTCCTCACTAAGGAGAAATTAACTAACGCAATGTTAGAATTAAAATTTCTCTCCAATAATCCATCCAGTTAACCAATAGTTTGTGAGATAGGCTTCTATACAGTGCTTTGCTTTAAGAAGTACTAAGTTCTTTCCATCTTGTTCAATCAACATTTATTAAACTGATAGCATTGCATTTGGCTCATTGGGAAATACAAATATTACAAAAATTCCATAGGGCATGAAAAATTAACACAAAACATTCCACAGTAATAAATTGTGAAGAGACTAAATGCATCAGAGGAGACAGCTATTATTTGGGTTTAGCAGCTTATTTTTCATAGTTGCAGAAATGAACTTTGAGGATGACCAGGATTTAAAGCTGCAGGTGACTGCTAAAGTGGGGGGAAGGAAGAAGTCTGAAAACGTTTAAGTACACAGAAGCAAAAACAAGCATGGTCAGTATTTGCCAGATCAATCAGAGCAGGGGAAGATGTGATTGAGAATAGTGATAAATTTAAAAGGTAGACTATAATCCATTGATTCATATTAGGTGAAGTGACATGTTTTAGGAAGATCAGACTTAATGGCCAGGATAGAGACTGGAGTCCGTGAAATAAGGTAAGACATTTTAGTAATAAATTTGGATGCACAGACAAGGATGCTGATATGGCAAATGGAGATGGAGGACAAATCCAAACAGGATTTTAAAGAATTCCATTTGACAAGAAAACACATCTCTATAGTCTAGCTTAAGTTAGATACAATGGTACTGTGGCCAAGAATTAGTGATACAAAAATTTTTTTTAATGTCTTCAAAAAAAATTAGGAACACTCTAGATCACAATATGGAAAATGTTCTAAATATTTAGTTCTATTGCACAGTAAGTGTAACTTGTATAGGGATTTAGTCCCAACTTAAAATTGAGACCTACATTTACTGGTTCTTTATTTAAGACAGGTGGGGTACAAGTTTGACCCGAAAAATCATTTGGTCTGGCCCTGCTAAGGCATTAGGGGTAAATTAATTAAAGTTTGACCAAATATAGGCTAATTTTTAAGTTGGTAATTTGTACGGCCCGGGAATGATGTTTTAAATGGCCCCTGGCAGAAAAAAAAAGGTTCCTCACCCAATTTAAGATACTCAGAAAAGGAATTCAATTTTCTAGGTTTCTCTTCCAAAGCAATTTAATAATTCATCTTTTAAGTGTCTATTCAGTGTAATAGCACTGTGCTACATACCTAGGAGGAAAGGGTATGAGAGGTTATAAACTGTTAGAAGACAGGTGTATGGTAACACTAAGGACCAATAGTACTTTTTCAATTAAGTATTTATCATATGCCACATACTGCTTTTATTCCCTAGAAAATAAAAATTCATGAACCAAGAAAGTTGAGGTAGATGGACAGAGAAAGCCAGTCAGGTGACATATGCTATACTAGAGCACATACATAAAGTCTGTGCCAACATGCAAAGGAATGATTGTTTGATGGGTGTGCCAAAAATTTTCAGAGGTAAATATCTTCAGTGCTACTTGAGGCATTGCTCCCATATTCAGTTCGTTGACTAAATTAGACCAAGTGAGGCTAAGAAACTGTAATACAGTATTCTTAGTGACAATTTAAACAGGAGGCAAGTTGAAATTTGTTTCCTTTACATTTTTGCAATGTAAAGTTGGGGAAGGGAGATATGAATGACAAATGTTAAAGTACTACTCCCCAATAATTTTCAACTTTAAAATAAAATAAAATGGCACTAAGTAAACACATCAAGAGAAAAATATACTTTTTGATCAGAAGATACTACTCTGTGCCTACTTACATAAGGCCCAGAAAACAGGAAAACATAAAACAGCCAACCTGACTTGCAGGTTCTTAAAGACAGTCAGTAACAATTAATGCCAAGAAATAAGGTCACTCCAGAAACTGTTTCACACCATAAAAACTAAAGGCTTCTGAAAGCATATTTCATTTTTTCTGGTAGTATATGACCAATTTTATTCCAAGACTCCCCCCCGACCCCCCCAGCATATCTATTCCACCCAATTCTTACACTCTAGGGCCTTACTATTCCATACCTGAAGATGTACAGGGTGGCAGAAAACAAGCAGATCCATGTCTTCAGCATTTTCTAAGATCTAGAAATACTTTTCTGGTTTATATAAGCTTGGTACTCATGAAATTAAACTCTATTCAAAACCTAAATGGATCCAGAAGCTGAAAAGGGAAATGATTTTGCCCAACAGATAAGAAGACAGAGGTAAAGTTACAGGAAGAAAACTTACCCAAAAAAGAACCAATCTCTAACTTTGGAGCTAATATATACACTATTTAGATAGTTGGTTTCCACCTTGCTGTATGGATCCTTTAAAATAAGGATAATTTCCTGTTGCTTTTGCATCATAGCTCCCTCTAGTGGTTAAGTGATTTCCCCTTGGAAAGTGAAATATTGTGGGGTTTTTTTAATTACCTTAAGATATTTAGCATCCCGACAACTGGACATTTTGCTCACAGGCTCTCCATTTCCACTACCTTCACACTGATATCAACAGTTGATAGATGACACTTCCTACGTTGTATGGTAACAGGAGTACGTTTTATAACCTGGTTGTTGAGGTTAACTCCTTTGTACTTTTAAAGAGATGACAAAACACTCAGGACCTGATGAACTTAAAGTGTTGTTTTGACTGTGTTTCATATCTACCTAAATAGTAACCTCCTAAGCAAAGCATGAATAACCTCTCTCCCTGATAACCTATAATGAGGTTACTTCTGCCTAAATTAACTCCTGGATGAAGTCAAAGACTAATTTATTTGCTATATACTACAGAAGCACCAAGTGATTTTTGCAATAATAGTTAAAAAAAAAAAAAAAGAATTCCTTTCCTTGATCACTATAAAAATCACAATCAGGGCTAAATTTAGCTTTCAAAGCTAGGAAGAAGCACCCCTAAAGTCCTCATTCACAAGAACAGTGCTGAACTCTGACTTATTGCACCTATATTTAAAATGTCTGTAAAAGAAAAAAAGGTAAGTCTTTGCCAAGATGACTTTGTTCTATAGAAAATATGAACAGATGTTTCCTTATAATTTTTTACTTCATGCCAATTCCAGCTATTTCTATAGAACCAGAATGATTAGTGCTCCTGAAAGTAAAGTACTAGAAAGAAAAAAGCTACCCTAAAAGAATGCAGTATTCCACTGTATACACTAAGATGGCAAACTATTTCCTTCAGTGGAATACAAATGTTTTGAACCCACTATAGCAACAGAATATACAATGTTGAGTCATACCTTTTCTTTTCTTGTGGCCACTTCAGCCTAAGTTGGGGAACTTGTATCACTTAATAAAATATCCACAGTAACAGGTTTGTTTTTAATCACATCCAAAGTTACACAATCTTTAGCCTTACGTATCCTATTATAATTCTACAATCCCCTTTCCAAACTCTTGAGGACAAATGTGAAATTCAGAGCCTATTTACAAAGATATGGCATACAGACCCTATATAAAACATAAAACCCTCAGCAAACCCCATGGTAACTATTGACACACATCAGTACTTCTGCAGGAAGACAAGTTAGTCACAGTTAAGTACAAAGTGAAAACACTAATTTTTGTCAGGTTTTACATTAGTCCAACAAAATCAGTTTTCAATGTTTTTTGGATAAGAAACTGTGAAGCCATTTCCTGCCTTTGCATTCTCCATACAGTAATAGAATTAAGTTAAACCAAAGGATGGTTATGTTATAATAGAACCTCAATCTAATGTCTCTCCTTTTAATAACTACTTTTGATAGTGTATTTATGACTTCATATACAAAGCAAAAAGGCACATGTAAATTTATCTTCACAGAAACTTAGAAACACCAGCCCTAATGAGCAAGATGTTTCAAAGACAAAACTAAAAGTTGAAATTCTAGAATCATATTGCACTTAAGCACGAGTGATATGCACTAGAAATGTATGAAAGTGTAAAAATTAATAAAACATTTTAAACAAGCGGAATCTGTTCATATTCCAAACATTAAGAAATTAAACATAGCTTAATTCTTAAAATTCAGATCCCAAATAGGAATCAGAAAATGGGGTTCTTACCTTTTGTTTCCAGCATGTGGGCTGAACAGCAAGATGGGTTACTCAATCTGATGTTATGAAAAATAGGTGCTTCTTAGACTTAAGTTTTTCCTTGGTTAGAAAATAACTAATTATAGGCTCCCTGTAATATTCTAAGAGGAGACAAATAGGGAGAAAAGGTGGAAAATTCAAGCCAACTTTTTTAGTTTCCAAAAGGGTGGCTTTCTTCTAATAGCTGCCAATACGGGTAGAGGTTTAAGGGCCATTCTCCTAAGACTGAAAAAAATAGGCATCTTCCCTCACAACTAGCTATCTTGCTTTTAACTGCAAAACCTGTGCCCCTGTCATTTGCTAATACGTTGTCCTTTCTAATCTTCAAACAGCCTATCTTTGTTTTCCCCCTGGGGTTCAAACTAAAAGTTTTAGTAGAGCACATCTTTCAACTTAGCTTAAATGTACTCAACCTTGAGTGAAGGCAATTTTCATTTTGATCCTGTTATCAAAATGTTCAGTAAACACAAACGAAATCAGGCTTAAATTTACCCATTTACCATTTCAAAATTAAATGTCATACCCTAAAAACGCCTCATCTCCTCATAAGCAGTGTCAGGCCTAGTTAATAATTGAACGAGAAACATAACTTTAATCAATCTTTCTGCTTCTTGAACCTATTTTGAATTTACATAAACTTCCTTAATAAATCTATACCAATTGCTTTACTTAATATTTCAAGTGGAATCCTAGTTTTGAATATCCCTCTTCCTCCTAACATTCCAGTGTTCATTTACACGTATTAGTTAGGTGACCTTATGCAAACCTTAGGGCCCATTTCCTCCTCTACCAAGATTTTTAGTTTTCATAGTTTTAAATCATGTTATCTGAACAGCTGTCTTAAGTTCAGCTTCCAAATATCACTAGCACCCAAGGGAAATGTTAAAATTTAATTGGGTGCAGAAAAAGAATGGTTTGATGGCTGTGAATAGCTATCAGAAAATCAGATGAGGAATTTTAGGTTAAAATCCTAATTCAAGCAAATGAAAAATTTAAAACCAAGGGACTATCAAGTAAAAAGACATAAAAAATGGTAGAATACAAGATATAATCACTGCTTTGACATGTTTTGGATAAGAATAATGACCTTATGTTTGAGAGGGGGTTACAAGGCAAAATTCTAAAGAATGATCAGCTTTTCATCAGCAACAACTAACTCGAATAAGCAGTTATTCTTCTGGTGTACTATTCACACTTCAAAAAGGAAGTAAACTGTGTTGAGAATTCTAATCTGTGCTGAATTTAAACATTTAATACTTACCAATTTTTGAGATGAGTTTCATCGAGAATCTCAAAGGCTACTGTCAAGTTAACATTTACCAGTCATCACTCAAATTTTGTATAAAAGCCTATCTTATCTAGATGATCACCAAAAAAAGGCAGCATCTATACATTTTAATAACTTTTTATTATCAAAGTATTGGAAATTTATCTTTCAGAGACTAGATCACCCATCATTCACCATGTTACATACACAATTGCCTTTCTCATCCTTTCTTCTCTTTCCCTGAATATTTTTACAATTAACAAGAATTGCTTGATACCATTAAATTACCTTTCAAGAACCTTTAATTTACTAACACATAAATGCAAGTCAGAATCTTATCATTTAAAGTATTAACTGATAGTCTCCCAGTTAAAATCTTAGAAGAGGAAAAAGGACAACCATGCATAGTTTTTTAAAAAACGTTTATTTTTCAAAAGAAAACCGGCAACAGCCAATTGGAAACCTACTTATTCTTCAACTCCAATTTCGTTTTCTTTAAATTTAGAAATGACTTACTGATTTACTATTTTAAACAAACCCCCCCCCTTTTCCCCTTTAAGTGTTTACCATCTACTCGTGCTGAATCCTTCCAAGGAGATTGCTCCAGCGTATATCTCCAGGTCCTCGCTTTGCTCCTTTTACCAAAAAATGCAAAACACAATTCCATCGTGCATCTTAAGGGCTCCAATCGTCAAAAATAGGAAGAAAAAAAATCTTTGGAATAGCCAATTAAGTTGAATAAAAAAAAAAAAAAAAAATCCACACGAATGCGGTTTGGTTGGGGCAGGAATCCACTCCTATGTTCCTGGTAATCTGATCCCGCTCCATGAATCCTTGTAATTCATCCTCCCTATCCTATCCACATTATGATTTGAATCCAATGATCCAGCTCCAAGGATTGGGATCCAGTGAGCCCTCTCCAATCCAAACCTTTATAACCAGCAAAACCAAAAAAGAGGAGGCAAAATGTTAGATACTGTAATCAAAAAAGGTTTCTGGGGAATGATGAGTTATGTCTGTCATCAGTTTAACAGATGTACATCAATAACTATCAAATTCCCCAAAACAAGTTTCTGAATGGTGTTCAGATAAACTTTAGAAACTTAATCATCATAGAGACTAATTGGAAGAAGCATTTTATATTTACAGTTCAACTGATAATGCCAACACTTGTTACTGTACAGCGTTATTACAGGTTTTGTGGTTGCAAAAAGTTATGTATTTGAAAAGTTTACTGGTATTGTTACCCACCTAAGTCTAAACTAAATCTAATGCTCCCATCTGCAATTTAATTTGTAAATTAAAGTGTTTTAAACATGAGTCAATTATGAATATTAGTTTAAAGGGGAAGATGATACTTAAAAGTATATTCCCAACTAGATTATCTACACCAATATGTTGGAATTCTATAATTTGCTTTCATTTTGTCTTAAAAAAATGAAATAGCAACGCTATATCAGTCACACAGAGGACATGCAGATTTAGCAGTATTGATATTATACTCTATCTGGTTGGAATTAAAGACACCCTGTACCCACATGTACACCAACAGCAGGTCACACATTAACAGTTGTAACTAAGCACTGTGACAAATTAGCCAGTTCTTCCCACATTAGTCCCTATTAAAACAAAAAAGGGGGGAAGGGAGCAAAATAAACTGTTACAAATGGGCAATAATTTTTCCACAATTGCCAAGGTTTAAAGAGCAGAGCAATTGTAGGTAAAGATAACTGCGTAAGATGTTTGCAAGTGTTTTAAGGTAGATGCATATATATCATTTTTAACGCTTGCCTTTTAGTATAAGGTCAATACTGCCAATTTCATCTGTGACAATAGCACTTGGAGTCATACCATTGCCTCCATTATTGATCTGATCCTCCTCAATCCTCCTTTTGACAATCCTAAAATGATTGAAATGTGCTCCACAATCCTTAATCCAAAGCATTCTTAATCCATCTCTTCAGATATGTCTACAGAAAGACACATGAAAAGCAAGATAAACATAAGAACTTCCCCAGGTAAGATAACCACAAACATCCCCAACATCCCCGTTCACACAAACCAGAGAATAGACATTTGCACAATATCACAGTCTGAAGAGAATGGAGAATTAACTAAATTTAAACAATCCTGTCTACGACATCACTTAAAATACAATTTACCAGACATGAGGGGAATGTAGATGTTAGGAGCAAGGGGATATTACACAAGAATGCAACACTTTAGCCCATTCTGAACAAAACAGTTTGAATTAAAAAAATGAAAAGATTGTACTGAGTAAAGGAAAACTGTATACAACATGGGTTCTACAAAAAGTGTCACCAATTATCTTATGTACGAGAGCGAGATCTGCTATGACGGGGAGAATAGCGTGGTGATCCTCTGCTTCTCCTTGGGGAGTAACTGCGACTCCTGCTGTTGCTTCTGCTACGGCTTCTGCTACGACTACGGCTTCGAGATCGAGATCTTCCATAACTTGGACTTCTGGGCCCATCAACTTTAACCCGGATGTAGGCAGTTTCTCCCTATTGAATAGACAGAACTTTCGATTGAAAGATCTAAGCTTTTACCTGTGTTCAGGCATGCTGAATGAGTACAATGTAGCTAAAACCAGAAATCTGGCACTTTACTTGGGCACCCTTGCCTGAATCTTACCTGAAAAAATCCACTGTTAAGACCACTGTATCCAATTCTGGCCAAAGAAAAAAATAAGTGTATAACCTACCTCATGAGATCTAAACTTAGTGTTATCCAGTTTTCGAACTGCATAGGTCATATCTTCTTTCCGTACAAACTCCACGACACCAGTGCCATCTCGGTAAACATCAGCATAACATACATCACCTGCTTCACGCATGTGATCCTTCAAATCCTGCCAGCTTCCACTTGGAGGCAGTCCTGAAAAAGTGACTTTTTTTCAACACCAACTACCCTAAATTTAAAATTTACATTAGAACAAAGACTACTTTATAATTAATGACTACATTTAAGATCATGGGTAAAGAGCTACGATTCTGGAGACCGGAGCCCAAAATTATTTGTAAAGTAAGGATCTTCATATTCTAGGTACCGCCATCTAATTCGATACACCTCCATTAAAATAATCTTTGCTTTGTTTCTAAACAAGAAACTAAAGTAATTTGAGACCTAGCATAAAGACTTGCATTTGTTAAACTAGTCATGCGGGGAAAACTTAAAGTAGTTTCTGTCCCTCCTCATCAATCCATATTTAACAATCAACTCACCAGAGACAACCACTCTGTTCTCAGATCGCCTGGATGGGGGGCCATAGCGGCCTCGGGGTGCTCCGCCACCTCCACCCCCGCCGCCGCCTCGGCCGGTACCGCGGCCGCTTCGAGGAAACTCGACCCGCAGACGGTATCCATCGTAATCGTAGCCGTCGCGACCATACACCGCGTCTTCCGCGTCTCTGCGTAATCATAGAGCGCAAGAGGGCTCAGAAAAAGGGACCCGCAGGGGCAGCGAACTCGGCCGGGACCCAGCGGCCCCCGCACATGCGCACCGGGGGTGGAAGCGCTCACATGCGCCGAATAGGGATGGCCCCTCCCCCACACAGAAACACGCCGCGCTCCCGACCCCGACACCACACCGGCCCTCAACCCCAGTTTCCCGCTCCGGGCCCGAGCCGGCTCCGGGAACCTCCACGGGGGCCCGGCCACCAGAAAGACCAAACCGACTCAGCTCCTTACTCGACTCCCGCATGGGCGATAGCGTCTCGCCCCCTACCTCGGAGCCCGTCTCCCACTCTCTAATATTAAGGCCTTGGAGCTTTCCCCAACTACTCCAACCGATTTCCTCAAGGCCGCAAGCCCCAGGTCGCCTCACCGCGGGTCCTCGAACTCAACGAAGGCGAAGGGTGGTCCTCCGCGGCGATTCTTGAGATCGATGTCGCGGATAGCGCCGTATTTGTAGAACACGTCCTCAATGTCCTTGGTTCGAATGTCTGGAGGTAAGTTACCCACGTAGATGCGACAATCGTTGTTCCCTGCCGGGCCACGAATCACACCACCTCCGGACATGGCGACGACGAAAAGCGCGGACTCGAGAACAGGCCTTCCCACCAAGCCTAGCGCACGGGAGAGCGAACCTGCAGCGACACCTCGGCTCCCGCGGCCCCTCCAAAATGGCGCCTTTATCTACTTGGCGCACGGATATGGGGGGAGGGAAGAAGAGCAGCGGGAGGAAGCAGCTATTTGACTTCAGTGCGCACGCGCAAGAGCGTAACGGGCCTGCGAAAGTACGCTCACGTACGCGCGACGTCACCCTCCGCGCGAAGGGAAAAAAGTTCCCTTGCGTTCCCGATTTGCCAGTAGTTTGGTTAGGGAGTGGCTAGCTTTTGATAAAAAAAAAAAATACAGAGCCTTCGTTAAAGGATTATTAACCCCTGTCGAGTCTTAAGAGATAATTTACTCAGGAAAAAGCCTTTTAGAGCAACTAGGCGCCTTGAAAACGATTGGTGAAACCTACCCTAGAGCCTGTCCCACCATGCTCTGCGGCGGTAACGGCCCTTGGCGGGAAAGACTCCCGGGGGCGGAGTCCAAGGGACGCGTCGGCTGTTCCGGAAACCCGGGCTTCCTCGGAGAGTGCGCCGAGTGCAGGAGTTGCGCTACACTGGATTAGATCAAGAGTCCAGGGGGGACTGTCTTCCTGCCCCAGGGATATGAGGCAGTTTGCAGAGATAACATGATTGGAGCTGAAGAAATCCAGAGGAATGGGAAAATAGGGAAGGAGCGTTAAGATAAGAGTCATGGATAAAGTTAGTACACAAAATATCCGCAGTAATAGCTCGGTAAGTTCCTAGAGATTGCAAATTTGATTCTGGTCATCCCAGAAGTCACAGTAAAGAAGACGACAACACACACACACACACACACACACAAATAAGGGAACACAAGAATATTCAAAATCCAAAGTGCCTTTGATATAAAAAAAAAAAAAAATAGATGGTTTAGAAGAAGGGCATTATTAGTTTTAAAAGTTGATTGCATTTTACAAATGTTTGGTAGTCCTTGTACACTCTATGATGGTTTCCAAAATTATGTGTATATGTGCGTGGACTTTCTTCTGTAAAGAGGATTTGAAATTTTAATCAGATTCTTAAAAGGGCCTGTAGATCCCAAAAGGGGAAATAACCTCTGAAAATTTTAGAGGGAAGGACAGATTGATTATCCTTCAATGGTACTTTTTGAAACTGAGCTTTTAATTAAAAAGACAAGAACCTGATAATTTTTTAATGAGAAGCTGACCAAAAAGGACACGATTTTAACAAATTTATTCAGTTTCTAGTGCTGTCCTATTCAGTTAGTAGCAGAAGAGATGAGAATTTTTTTTTTTTTTTACATTGCAGGTATTATTTTCATTCAATAGTTATTTACTGAGCATATTTTCTTTCTGTTCAAATATTCATCCATCAATTTAGATTTATTCAGGTTCATCTTCTGTTGATTAATGTTAAGTCAGAGTGCTTTTTAATTTCAGGACACTTTCATTCCAGAAAAATAAGAAAATTGAATTTGCTTTGATTTATTCTTGTCTGTTTGAATTAATGCAATAATTTCTGATTTTGTTCAGTTCAGGGGAATACAAGGTAGACTTTAATACAGAGTGAATAGGACATTCTTGTTTTTGTATCAGCTTCCTTTGTATTTGAATAGAACCTGTGTTCTGGGGTCCATGGTCAGATCAGGATGTAGCAGGAAATGTCTGGATGGTTCTTTATCAAGATCTCCCAGGATGGCATTAGCGTAGTGATTATTACAGTTAATACTATCCATGTACCAGAGTTGATTAATAGATTTTAGTCCACAAGAAAGCAAATAAACCAAACTATTTGTTCATTTGTTGGTGGTAGGGCAGATTCATTTTTAATAATCAGGATGCTCAAATTGTACATGCCAAGGTAAATGTTCTTGGCAGGTCTGGAAAGCACAACAGGCAATTGCTTGGTAAATGAGAAATTAAAACAAAATGAGGTGAGCCATTTTGAGAGATATTTCATTCAGATCATGTGAGACCTGATAAACAATGGAGTATATATACCTCCTCAGTGACAGGAAAACTCATAGCCCCTGGATTTTGTGTCTGTTCCTGGACAGAGCTGGGTAAGATTGGCAATTCTCTTTCTTTATAATAATAATAATATACATACATACATATATATTTTTTGTTACTGATTTCAGAGAGGAAGGGAGAGAGAAAGAGATAGAAACATCAATGATGAGAGAGAATCATTGATCGGCTGCCTCCTCCACGACCCACATTGGGGATTGACCCTGGGACTGGGACTGGGACCAGAATCCGTAACCTCCTGGTTCTTAAGTCAATGCTCACCTACTGAGCCATGCCCACCCAGCTGGCAATAATTAATGCAATAATCTCTTTCTGTAGCCTAATCTTTTTTTTTATTTTTTATTTTATTGATTTTTTACAGAGAGGAGGGGAGAGAGATAGAGAGTTAGAAACATCGATGAAAGAGAAACATCGATCAGTTGCCTCCTGCACATCTCCCACTGGGGATGTGCCCGCAACCCAGGTACATGCCCTTGACCGGAATCGAACCTGGGACCCTTCAGTCCGCAGGCCGACGCTCTATCCACTGAGCCAAACCGGTTTCGGCTGTAGCCTAATCTTAACACAACTTTCTTTAAACAGCCTGCTGAGACAATTGATAAGATTTCTGCTGGTTGGCAGTTCTGCCTCCAGAGATTACATCCATATCTTAATTAGGGGTTTAAAGTGTTTTTAAACTCATCAGTTACACAATCACAGGCAGCTTTATGGATCGCTGCTACAATTAATGAATTTATTAAGTATGGATTTTACCAGTTTTTAGTTCTCAGAAGCTGCTTTATTTTCAACACTGTCAATGGTTATGAAAAGTTAATTTCTCAAAAAGAAACTTTTTAAATACTTTTGAGTCAATTCAGTGAGTATATGCCCTGTCAGCTCTGTATTTTCCTCTGGAAATAATTTCTTGGGGGAAAAAAGAAAAGAAAGAAATTCAAAAATTTAATTACTGTTAGGGTTGAAATGAGAAGACAGTTTTTCAGTGATTTGCAGAACATTTAAAAATCTTTAACTGTGATGATAGCTATACAACTCTGTAAATAATACTAAAAATCATGAATTGTGTAGAATTACAGTGAGTGAATTGTATAGTATGTAAATTATAACTCAGAACTTTTTAACAATGTCTGGGGAAAGAAATATCTCCACAATCAGCAAAATCACTCTCTAGTACCATTCCTCTAAAGGCATTATTGGGGTTGGGGGTGCTCTAGAGTAATTTGCACTGAAGTACGGCTTCCCTAATCTGGAAACACTGTTTTTAATATTCGTGTGTCTTCACTGTCTTCCCTGGGGATAACTTACATTTACCAGGTAAAGAGACACTTACAAAGATTAGGAATATTTTATTGTACTGTGTATAGGAGGTATCTCCAGGAACAGTTCAATTGCATATCTCTGTTCCAGAAATTTTCAACCTGAGGGATTTTCAACCAGTGTGCTGCAAGAATTTTTAAAACATGCAATACCTAACTATTTAGTCAGGGGCACGTAACCTCTTTTCCCTTTGATTGTCAAATAAAAAAATCACAACAGCCAGTACAACAATATAATCAAGTGTGAATGAATCAAAATTATACCTATTTTTTGTCAGATAGGCAAAAAATATAATACATTTTTTGGTGTGACACAGAAATTTAGTAATTAGTTTTTATGTGCCATGATTGAAAATCATTGCTCTCTTCTATTGTTCCACTTGTTTTAGTTGTAGATATTCTCTGAAAAAGGAAGAAATAGTATATATATCTTTTAATCTATATTCGTCTCATCTTCCCTGGTAAACTATGTTGAGGACAGATTTCTGTTTTATCCCTTTATTCCCAGTAAATTCTCTCTTCAAACAAATATTATTGACAATTTACTGACTGTTCTTTTAAAAAGATGGGATGTTAGATGAACAGGATGTTGTTTCTTTGGAAACTTCATCATGCTGTCAGTGGATAGACAGAATGGTACAAAAATTGTTTTTCATTTCACAGTATAATCAGTATGGCCACTTTTCAAACTCAAAGATGTCATCTAATAATATATTTTTGGTAATCTTATTTTAGGACTGGCCTCCCTCACTCTATGATTCCCCTTGTTTTGTTTTTAGCTAATGCTTTCCATCTTTATTGTTCCATTATTGATGACAATAGGATATGATTTTGCCAGAAAACAGCTCTTAAAATCATCTGTTAGAAAGAGATATATTTTCACCGTGTCTTCCTCTTCCTAATTGTTACTCCCTCTCTCCCTCTTGCTGCTCAGCTCTTTCTCTTAGAAATTGAAACTCCACTTCATATTGTACATTTCCTAATTTGATCGAGTAATGGCTCTTTAAGGAATTATATTTAAAATATGGTAGATATGCTTTATTTGCTATCTGTTTTGGCAATTTAATCTTAAGGTCTGAGTCCTATATAAATATTAGCTATTTTATTATTACTAGTAGTTATATGTTAATACTGCTGCCAATTGTGTTAGAAATAATTTCAATAAAAATGTTTGATTTGAAATTTGAGAGTGTGATTATTTTTTCTCTTTATTATTTTAGAAGATACCCCAGATTAGCTGAAAACTCTCAGAATTACTTTTCTAAATTTGCTTCTAACATAAACTGCATGCCCACAAGCCTAAAATACAGGGTGGGGCAAAAGTGGATTTACAGTTGTTTGTATGGAAAATAATACAATAATTAACAGTACAAGAATAAACCCTTGTATTTTGTGTACTCACAACTAAACCTGTTTGCCCCACCCTGTATTGACTTATCTGGCCCTTACAGAAAAAGTTTGCCAGTCTGAGAAGAAAATAGCCTGTTTTTGTAATTTTTGCTTAAACCTAAATAAAAAATTCAGTTTTGTCACGTTCTCTCTCTCATATGTGTTTTTGTCATGGGTAAGATCTTACATTGTTAAGAAGTTGTAAACATAAGTAGTACACATTTTCAAGTGATATGTTGCTTCTACATGCTTCTTCGGCCATTACTACAGTTTAGTGATAAGGTACAAAGAGCTGGTAGAAACAAATTTCTTTGCTGGTCTAACAAGCCTCGAATAGAAGCTGTTGCTCTGCTCCAGTTGGTTGCTTTTTTGCTTTTTTTCCT